AGAGAAACCCTGTCTCGAAAAACAAAAAAAAAAAAAAAAAAAAAAAATTCCAATTATAGTGTAGATTTCAGGGTATGAGGTTGATAATGAGGGACCCCTGAAATGGAGAATGTTTAAAAATCAGGCCAAAGGCTGGGTATATATAGCTTGGTAGTAGGACACTTGTCTAGTATGTGAAAGGACTCCAGTTTAATCCCTAGAAATTTAAAAAAAAAAAAAAGAATATGATTAGGCTTTGTCCCTCCTGCAGTTCCTGAGATGAGGCGGGAGGAGAGGATGAATGTATGAAAGAATTAATAGGTGAGAGGGAAGGCTTGTGAGCTGCCTCAAGCAGGTAAAGGCTCCACTGGGAACCCAGAGTAGTAAAGGTCATCCTCTGGCCTCCACGCCCACGCTGTGGCACCTGTTGCACCCTCCTACGTGTATATACACACAGTGATAATAGAGTCATGTTTTTAAATGGGAGGAAGTAGATCTCTGCCTCTCAGATGTTGTTGCAAGGCACTGTGTAATAACATGTAGTATCATTTTGAGCTGGGTAGGGTGGTCTGTGCCTGGAATCAGCACTTAGAAGGCTAAAGTGGGTAGACTAAGTTTGAGGCCAGCCTAGAATGCTTTGGAGATCCTGTCTGGAAAAAAAAGAAAGGAAAAAAAAACTTACCTTTGCCCTTAAGGAAATGGAGACTCTTTTTCCCCTTTTGGACAGTTCTCAACTTCCATACCTAATACAATCTTGAAAATGATTAGGCTGTTAATAGTTATGCCAAGAGAATAAAAATTATAAAATCTGTCTTCAGGTGGGACATGGTAATGCACTGGAGACAGGCAGGAAGATGACAAGTTCAAGGCAGGTCAGTCTAGACCACATAGGGAGCCCTTGTCTAAAACAAACAGACATTCCCTCTGAGATCCAGGCAACTTAACAGGAGTTCATTCACGGGCACTGCACTCTGACCACACCCATCGCAGGCTCACTGTGTCTCACAGCTGTATGCAGCACAGAGTGCTGACTCTTGCCTTTTGTTGTTGTTGTTGGATTTTGAGATGGTCACTTAGTGTAACCACTCTGGCTAACCTGGAACTCACTATGTAGAGTAAACTGGCTTGCGCATGCGCTCTCTCTGTCTCTTTCTCTCTCTGGTTTTTTGAGACGGGGTTTCTCTGTGTAGTTTTAGAGCCTGTCCTAGAACTCACTCTGTAGACCAGGCTGGCCTTGAACTCATAGCGATCTGCCTGCTTCCGCCTCCCAAGTGCTGGGATCAAAGGCATGCACTACTGTGCCCCTAGGTACAATTTTGTGCTCATGCATATGCAGCTTCACTCTTAGTCCTTGAGATATTTCATTTCAAAACACATTAATTTAAAAAATTATAGGCATTAGGTAGTGGTGGCAAACACCTTTAATACCAGCACTCAGTGCAAAAACAAATAAAACCCAGTTACAGGCTCAGAAAGACTGAAAATTGTTGATGCTTTGGTAAATGTGTCTTCTATCTGTCCTGCAGAGGAAATACACCTGAGACCAGAGGAACAGCATATGTGGTCTATGAAGATATCTTTGATGCTAAGAATGCATGTGACCATCTATCGGGATTCAACGTGTGTAACAGATACCTCGTGGTTTTGTACTACAATGCTAACCGGGTGAGTACAGCCCATTCAGAGAGGCACTGGCTCTGGGAAGGGTGTGGTGGGGTTTCTCTTAGCTCGTGCCACTGGTGAACTCCTTTAGCTATAGTCAGCACCCATTAACTGTGGTGTTTGTCACACTTGCAGGCATTCCAGAAGATGGACACCAAGAAAAAGGAGGAGCAGCTGAAGCTTCTCAAGGAAAAGTATGGCATCAACACAGATCCCCCAAAATGAACTCGGGGATTTCACTCTGAATATGTGCATGTTTGGCCCCCTGTTAACCTTTTTTCTCTTTAGTGCATACTGAATATTGTAATTTTTTGTTTGAGACCTAGAATCCGAGAATGACTTGTTTGAAACTTATCTAAGCATTAGAATATATTATTTTAATAAACTAATAGCTTTTGT